GGGGGGGGGGTAACGGCGAGGCTTCTATCTTGAGCGCGGCAGTGCCATCTAGCTTCATCCTGGGGAGGTGAGGAGATGTTTTGTGTCTACCGTACCGGTCCTCGTACACCTGACTCAGCAGGTAGGGCGAACGCAGGTCGACTAGGCGTAGGTACGAGTAATAGGAGTAGTCTAGTATCTCCAGTACAACCACCAGCCATCTATCAATCCTAGTTGGCATGTAAACGGAGGGCCGTGGAGAGCAAATCCCTCGCCGTTTCGGGCTCCCGCCCCCTCGAGGCGAAGCTGTCGGTTAGGCAGGCGGCATCTCTAGCCTGCTTCCCTCTCGTCCTCTTCCCTTGCCTTGCCCGCTTTGTGCGGACCTCTGTGACCAGCCCAGCCAGCCAGTGAATCTTCATGGTACCTCCCTCTGGTAGGAGAACCCATACAGGAGGAGGCTATAGTGGTGCCTCCATTGTTGTGGGGGAGAGGGGCCGGCCATCTTGCGTCGACGATCTCATGTGAAGCTGACCATCCTGCCCCGTTTTGGGAGCGCGCTGTCGTCGGCGCCGTCTCAGGATGTGGTGGATGCCATTGGACGCGGCCAGCTGTCTGCGATGGCTAGATAGCGACTACTCCAGCTGGCAGGTTTATTGAGGAGACGGAAACGGGGATCATGTTAAGTCACGGGGGGCTCCAATCGGTTGCAGACGCGCAGGCTAGCATAGATGATAGTTGATCTTGGTATATTGGGTTGTTGTGCTGATCTGGCTCTCGAACCACGTGTGGGATCGAAGATCCGGTGTGTTGGCCGCGTAGCTACTCCATTCAGTATAGTGAAATCGAGAGAGATCATGGCCGGAGAAAATAGTGGGTGATAGCACGAGAGGCAAAAAAGATCACGGAAACGTAGGCACAGGTGGCTAGGTAGGAACAAATCGCAAGAACTCTCTAGATAGGTAATGAGGATGATGGGTATATGCCAATTCGTGCAAGCTAATAGTACAATTATCCCCCTCCATATTGACCTTTTCATCTTCGGAAAAAATAGCCGTTCATCTTTCATCATCAGAGAGGAAAACCTCCCCAGAAACAACCTGAGACAGAGATATCGTGATACATCACATCTTCTACCATCGGCATCAAGCAACTGATGTGGTGTGTGAGCGCCGCCCCTTCGTGTACGCGGGCGGTGCCCACAAAAGCGATGTCAAGAAAGGTGGATCATCCAGCAGAAGCGACAGGAACCTTGGCAGGCCAGATAAGGTAGGCCACATGAAGCCAAGCGCTTGTGTTTCGCACAAGGAAAACAACAATAAAACACGGTCAACAGCTGATCCGGATCGCCCCCGTAAACGCCGTTCGCTCGTGGTATCGTCCCTGAAGGTCTTCGCCCCGGACTGACCTGTGGATGATCCCTTCCCTCTTTCTCAGAGGTGCGACACTGGAAAAATAAAAACCAAACCCAAGCAATTAAAACCAGTGTAAACTGTGTGGCTCCAGGCTAAGAAGAATGCGCCCGGGATGCCACTGGGGCGGGGGAGTGATCGACAAGAATGCGAATAAATCGGTGAGTAGGTAGGTGAGGTGATGGCGCATGGTGCGGGTGAGATTGATGGTAGTGCGCGGTTGGCGAGTGTGTGTTGTGCGTGAGAGAGAAGCCGTTCCCCAATATCCACCCTCGCCCGCCCCTTTCTATAAGCACATTACAGACAGTTGACAAGCGCTCCAACATCAGCGCAAACGTCAAGTCGAGCAAAACACGCGGAATTGGTATCGTAAAAATGCGCACGATGTATAATCCGTCCATCAAAACTGATCCGGTCTGTAACATGAGCCGGGTCGGGTACCTTTTCCGCATGCCCATTTGTCGTCAATCAGGGCGCCCCCAACTTTTGGTCGTTATTTCCGCCATCGTGGGAATTGGCACAACGCTATCCAATTCTGCGAGCCCCTTTGCGAGGCTCCGGCGGTTTGGTGGAGGCGTGTTAATGTAGTGTAGTGTAAAAAAGGGTATAGACAGCGAATGATGAGAATTAAAAGCATGTAGTCTATGCAGCAAAATCCTGTTGGAACACGCGAATGAAAGGCAATCTGGCTCATCGTGCGTAGAGTTGGTGATACATTTAGGCCGGTCTGGACCTTTCTAGTCGGAGTGGTGGTCCTCAGAACCAGCCTCTGACCGGGCCTCGCCCTTGTGCACCTTGCGGTGCCTTCGCAGGTTCGAAACTACTGAGAACTGTCGACCGCAGCCTTCAACTTCGCATGAAAATGCTGCTCAACTGGTCAGCCCACTGCATCTACGATGCCACGTATGCGCATGTCGCAGAACAAGATGAACATAAAATCAGGCCACTTACGCTTCTCGCCGGTGTGGCTATACATATGAGTCTGCAATGAACTCGGTCGTGTGAATCGCTTGTCGCAGACCTTGCACTTGTGCTTCTTTTGCGTGCTGCTCGATACCTTGGAGCTGAATTGGCTCATCATGGATTGCGGCGCCGGTGGTTGACTGGGCATCAATCCTTGCGGGCGGGGTAGGGTACGAGACGTCACTGACTCGATATCAGAGCCGGCGGTGGAGTAGTCGCTGACGCTCGAGTCTACAGAACCATAGTACGGGCTGAAGCCGGTCGAGGAGACGCTCGACGAGGTCGAATGGGTCGAAGGGAAGCCATATGAGTCGGCGGATCCCCGGCCTCGCTGATTGTAGACGCCGGCGCGGGGCGTCTCCTGGTTAGAAGTGTCGAACTTCATCGACAGCATGCCATGGCTTGCCTCAATGGCATCCTGGAAGCTTCTGCGGTCGTCACCGAGTCCTCTGTGATCACTAAAGTCAACTAACGAATTCCGGTGCGCGCGGCCCAGGTCGACGGGATCGTAAGAGTTTGAGGATACTGACGGTTGTGAATATCTCCTGGTATGGGGATCTGCTTCTGGCGCCAGGGCGAAGGTCTGGCGCATCGGTGCGGGAGCGTATCCAAGGCCATCGTATGGCGTGGGCGAGGCCGCATATGTGGCATGAACGGGCGATGCCGCGGTCGTGTACGAGGCGTCTCCGTATGCAGCAGACGAGGTCTGGTGTTGCATGCGGTTGAGACTGAGGAGATCTTGAGGCATTGAGAGTAAGTCCTGTTGTCCAACAAAGGCTGGATCCACCATACTGAGAGGGCTACCTGCTGATGCAGCGGTCACGGGGATAGAACCATACGACGCCATGGAGGCATTGCTGCTGGTGCTCGCCCGTGACGGCGGCTGCTGTTGCGTGGAGTGCCGGTCCAGGCTCAGCGGATTGGAGGTCAGACCTCCTTGGGAGCCGACGTATAGGCCGTGGCTCGCCTGGGGCGCAGACGACGATACCCAAGGGTTCGTGAAGTGCGGCTGGCTGGAGTAGGAAGACATGGCGTGGTGATGGTCCAAGTTTAAAGACCCAAAGCGTTGCTGATTGGCGTCTATTGTCATCGTCATGATGTGAGGGTATGAGGTCGAACGAGGGCGGTGATCAGTACAACGAGACGAGACAGTCCTCTTCTTCCCAGCAGTGTGGTGGAAGAGTGGAAATCTTTCTCGGGATGATCTGGGGTAGAGGAAGGTTTAGAAGGAAGAAAGGTTGGTCTGGGAAAGAAAAAGCCCGAGTAGTGTTCGCTGATCAGATGCGGGATCCCGTCTGAGGCAAGCAAGGTCGTGTCACCTAACGGGGACAATGTGTCTGTTCAGACTGAAAGAAGATCCGTCACGAGTCGAGCTGGCGGGATCAGTGTCCTTAAGTGTGTCTCTTGGGGGAGGAGAGCACACAGTTCCCAGGATGACAAGATGGCATGCAAGACGGCGTCCCCTGTGGTTGGAAGAGGCCTAGCAGCTGGGGCCAATCGGTTTCCCGACCAGACAAAAACCGTCTGAACGTTATTGAGCTCTGGTCAGCGGGACAGGTGGAGACGTCCTCAGCAACCTGTGACGACTCCGAGCACAAGTGATCGACGTGCAAATATCCCTTCCTAAAGGGGACCCTAAGGGAGGCCGGAGGGCACAGCGCAGGGAACAGGGAATGGAGGATTAAGGTAGGGTACGGTAGTGTGAAAGGTACCACTGCTTGGGGAGGAGGAGGTCGAACGGATGGTGGACTGGGGCTGAGAGAGGAAAAATGGGAAGAGACGGTGGCCCAAACTGACGGCAACCGATTTGGCTGGACGTTGAACGGAAACGTAAAAGATCAGCGGGCGGTCTGGTCTGAGGGGATCCGGGAGATGGGTTGATGTTCGATTAGACCCGTGCAAGAGCGACGATGATAACCAGAACGAGTGTGAGTGCCCACTACTAGTCCTATATCCCTCGTGCTCTCCAAGGTACAGCAGCAGTACTCTTACTCGTGCCCTGGTCGAGCAGTCTGGTGAAGTAACTTTTTTTTGGATTCCTTGTCCACAGTTGGCGGGCCCGTTTACTGGCTGGTGTTTTGGTCTTCTCTTCTCTCTTCCTGGTGTGTGTGTGTGGTGAGAGATCCGCAGTGTGGAGAGAGCGACCTCAGTTTGGGAATCTGGTACAGTACTCTGACTAGTGCCAGACAGTCGCGAGACAAGACAAGATGTTGTTGTTCTTGTTGACAATTGCTGAGATGATAGTATATGATTGTGCCTGATGGGTACGACTCTATGGTAGGAGATGGTTTGAGAGAGCAGGACCTCTTTTTTTGTTTGGTGAGGCGGATGGGCAGGCCAAGCTTTACATAGAGAAGATGCCCACACTTTTCGACTTGTCGACAAGACGTACGTCCCAGACAGAGAGAGGCTATGATGAAAGTGTATGGGCAGCGATGTAAGCCGACGGACAGGGGTGGGGTGGAGGGTGCTAAGGTAGTGAGTGGAAGCAGAACAGCCGGCCAGGATGGAGACAGCCTAACAGTAGGGTGCCCAGGGTGTGCATCTGAGAGAGGAGAAATGAGGCAAGGTAGGAGGCATGTACGTAGCACTGGACTGACTGGATGGGGGGTGGTGGGGAGCCCTTCAGGGTAGGGATGTTGATGGGGAACGACGGCGGCGAATCTGTGAGATTAAGCGTCTGCCATAGTACTCGACTTATTGGTAGTGTAGGGGACCGGCGACGGTTGAACAGGCCCCAGGTTAAGAGTCAATCCAAGCCAAGCCAAACCAGAAAAGGTCCGGTCAGGTCGCCTTCTAGGTATCGTTATTCCCTCTCAGTCAGTCACTTTGCCTGATAGCTCTTCAAGAGGAGCGTTTCAAGTCTTTGCACACTATTCAGACAGATTCCTCTCGTACATTGCAGCTAATGGCGAGGAGGGGGCCTGTCAGGTATTTCGTGACTTAAGCTGCCTATAGTAGCGCGAGTACGAATGGGAAAAGATGCAGAAGTATGAAGAGCTACCAAGTACTAGAGGAGGAGGGGGTGCGCGATTAGAAAAGGGTGGTGGTGAAGATGCCCGCTTTGGAGGGGGGGGTGAAGTGTGAGATGAACGAGTGAATGAAAATGTGGGAGAATAAGATGCGATGTGGGTTTTTCCTAACATCATCTCTTTGCAAATAAGAATCCAACTTTCTCTCACCTCTACACCCCTCTAGGTAAAGTTCAAGCAAAGGCCACCTTCTGTGCCTTACTCGACTGGGCAATTGGATGCAGCTGGAGGTACCTTATCTGGTTACGTATTTGTTGTGTATGTGTGAGTGTGTGTGCATGTGTGCGTGCGTGTAAAGTATTTTTTGTATTCGCGCGCATGCATACATGCCTTTCTACATACATACCTACATACATACATGCATGTACCTACCTCCTCTACGTGACTGTTGTTTTTCCCTCCCGTTGCGCTTTCTTTCACTCCCGCAGCTGGCTGGTGGTAGTGTGTCTTGGACTTCCTTCTTGACTGGACGCCACCGATGTGGGTTGTGGAGGAGACGGGCAAGATGGGGTTCAGATTATGCAGGGACTGACTGACTGGTAGGTCGGGAGGAGAAATTCAATTCCAGAGAGGCTTTTTCCTTCGCAGCCCAATTCAGTCTTCCAGAGTCGAAATACTTCACAGCACACTAACTGCAATGGGTACAATCCAAAGCTTTTTTGCTGGTGCTGGCCGTAACCAGTGCAGGTACATCTGCTGTTGAAAGGGTTTCGAGCAATTGCCTGGCTGGACTCATTCACTTCCCATCTCCCTCTCCCCTGTCTCCTTTCCACCCTTATTGATTCTTCTTCGCTGCCCCGGGGAAGAGGTGTCTCTGGCCATGGGTTCTCTGTTCATATCCAGCTCTGACCACAGCCGGCAAGATAGCGGTCTCTCGCCATGTCCGTAGGGAGGGCTTGCACCTCCATCAGATCAGAGGCAGCAGGCTAGGCGAGGTGAAGTGAAGTGAAGTGAGTACGTAGGTACGGCAGACTAGGGCGTTGCTGGCTGCAGCAGACTGCATGAGAGGTGGGGCGTTTTGGAAAAGCCCTAGCAGCGGTCTGCAAAGGGGATCCTTGCCAGAGACTCAGGACTGGGGGGCCTTTCGACGCTGTGTAGGGGGCATCTGCTGCTGGGCGGGGCCAAGTACCGCAACCTGTCGAGAGAATAAGCAAGCAGATGGAGATGTTGATGCGATTCCTGAGAAAAGAGGGGGTCCCAGGGGGTGAAGGTGCGCGAAGTCTGGGGGGTGTGACTAATAGAGAGGTCACTGTACTCTACGGCGCCGCAGGGGAAGCCAGCCGTCAGCCAAGACTCAGGTCGACCCAATAAAGGGCAGTACATGGGGTTGCCGTTTCCCACCGCGGTAAGGTCAAGTACCTAGGTGACTGGGCTAGTGAGGCACCGCCGTGGCTTCCACAGACGTTAGGTGGTGAGGTAGTGTAGGTATGACACCGGTGACGTTTTTGTCCCACGAACGACCAGTACCAAAAAGCAAGCTTGCGGCTTCTCTACAAGGAAGCAACGAACACTGCCCACTGCTCGCCTTCCTCAACGCGTGTGTACCTAAGGTATTGAATCTCAATCCAAGGTTGCACTGTTGCATAGGCGCCGGTTAAATATGGAAGCACACATCATGGATTGAGGATAGAAGCAACCCAATTGAGAAAGAGTCCTTGTCATTGTGAGGCAAAGGGCCTGGGAGGAGTGAGGCTGCGCAATGCGCGATGATACAATCTTGACCACGAAAAGCCAGCCCTAGTCGTCAGTGGTGGTAATAGCGGCTAACGGTGGTTGGATTGTCAACATTGACCAAGTACTTCCGACGCCTGGTCGTACCTTCCTTTGGGGAGGGTTACCTGCCTCACTTGCTCAATGCCGCCTTCCTCAGCGCGGTCTACTTTGCTTCTTGCCTGCCTATTGTGTAATACATCCTTCGCCTAACATGTACACGCATAATTTGTCTATCGCTCTTGCCGTCGGGATGGCGAGGTCTGTGACGAAAGAGCACGGGACTTTTGTGAGCTTCCCGGGGTAAGGAAGGAAGGAGGGTGTGGTCAACTTGGTGTGTCTATGTCTATGTGATGTGTCTGTGTGTGTACGTGCCGCCAAATGCAATGCCAATGTCAAAACACAGACACATAGGTGTGGCCGCTTGGCTTGGGTAACACAGGACTGGAAAGCTCAGGCTGAAACAGTTATTGTGCAATCCCAAAGCGGGAAGGGGCGTTTCTGCACGACGGCGACGTTGACAACTACTGCATAGTAAGAACGCGCTGGGCTCCAGGTCAGGCTGTGACGAGTTACGGGCAGGGTGCCGGTTCTCTGGTAGCCGCCCGCCACGGGAAAGAAAGGCAAGAAGAGCACGGGCATGACATGGCATGGCGCTGACATCAACATTGAAATTCGGCCGAGATTGGAGGCGTCCAAAGCGCCGACCAGTTGTTCAGTTATTGCAGACGAGCTGCGTCGAAGCAATGATACAGCGATGTGTAGCTACGGTACTGTAGGCTCAAGTCTATACTGGACACTCCCTCACCTAGTCACCCTCATCCATTTGGTTCATGCCCCGACGCAGCGCAAAACAACGCCGGTTTCGACGGTTACATGTATGACGGTGCCCTAGCGTCTGCAAGTCATGAGAAATGACAGGACGCGTGCCTCAGTCCTCCTTCCACCTATCTGGGTGGATGCCCGGCCGATGCCC